CAGCCTGTTCTTGTATGAGAGATGCTCTAGTCCTTTAATCATCTGCCAGCCCTCTGCTGGACTCGTTCCAGTAGCTCCATGTCCCTCTTGTACTGGGGAGCCCAGAACTAAACAATGTACTGCAGGTGAGTCCTCAACAGGGTTGATTAGATGGGGAAGATCACCTCCCTCAACCTGCTGGCAACACTTCTGAATGCACCCTAGGATACCGTTGTTCTTCTTGGCCACAAGGGCACGTTTTTGGCTCATGGTTAATTTGCTGTCTGCCTGGACTTCTAGGTCCTTCCCCAGGGCTGCTCTCCAGCAGGCCAGCCCCCAGCTTGTACTGGTGCCTGGGGTTATTCTGCCCTATCTGCAGAACCTGCCTTTTCTGATATTCATGAGGTTTCTCTCCAGCCAAACTCTAATCTGTCAAGGTCCCTCTGAATGACAGCACAGCCCTCTGGTGATACAGGGGTGATAAATTTTTTTTGTTTGTTTGTTTCTTTTTTAAATATGTTTTTTCTTTACACAACAAAGCTACAAGACATGGTATTTAATTTTTTTGATTGTGTCAGTTTCTCTTATTCTAAAAGCACAAACTAAATATTATTATATTTTATAGTCACAAAATTAATCTAAAGACTGCTAGCATACCTCCCTACTGCACAAGTTCATCAGAAGAGGTTTGAGTGTGTACTGGGTTTACATAGGTAAGTGGTAGCAGAGAAGTTGCAGGGGTGGCTTCTGTGAGCAGAGCCCAGAAGCTGCTCCATGTTGGAGCAGGGACAGTTCCAGATGTTCCAAAAGGGACCCACCACTGGCCAGAGCTGAGCCATGAGCCATGAGCCATGAGTGATGTTAGTTGTACCTCTGTGGAAGGTTTGTACCTCTGTGGAAGGTTTTTTAAATCTCTGATTTAAGAAAGGACAATAAATGCTGTGCAACATCTAAGAGGAGTGAGAAAATATATAGAGAACCAACTCTGCAGATCACAATTCAGAAGTCAACGCAGAAGGAGAGCAGGAGGTGCTCCAGGCACAGAGCACAAGTTCTACTGTAGCCCTTGGAGAGGCCCCTAGTGGAGCAGGCTGTCCCCCTGAAAACCATGGGTCCCATGGTAGAGCAGATCTCCACACTGAAGCCTGTGGAGAAGACCCCGGTAGAGCAGGCGGATGTGGCCTGAAGGAGGCTGCAGCCCATGGAGAACCCCTGCAGGAGCAGGCCCTGGGCTGGAGCTGCAGGCCATGGAGAGGAGCCCACACAGAAGCAGAGGGTCTGGGGAAGCTGCCGCCCACCCATGGGGGGATCCGTGCTGGAGCAGTTTGCTCTTGATGAATGGACACTGTGGTACAGACCCATATTGGAGCAGTTCTTGAAGAGCTGCTGCCTGTGACAAGCCCCCACAGGCTCCGTTTGGGAAGGATGGCATCCCACAGGAGGGACCAAGGAGCAGTAGAAGGCAGAAGAGGCTGTTTAGCAGGGAGTAGGGGGTTTGTAGGTGTTCTTAGTTCTTAGTTTCTCACTGTTCTAGTCTGCTAGAGATAAGTAATAAATTATATTAATCTCATTACCTTGAGTCTGTTTTGCCTGTGATGGTAACTGATGGGTGATCTCCCTGTCCTTATCTTAATCTTAAGGCGTTTACATTCTATTTTCTCCCTGTTCTCCTTTGAGGAGGGAGAGAGTGAGACCGGTTATAGTGGAACTCAGCTTCCCAGCAGGGTAAGACCACCACAGAGTGCCACCATAAATTGTGAAAGAAAACCTAGAAAAGGATTGCTTGTATCCCCAGAAAACAAAATATCTTAATCTTACATATGTACTTTGGAGAACTGTATTTCATATTACACTCTGAAAACTATTGTTAGCTAAGAGATTGTATAAAGAGATTATTTTTAAGTTTTCTGAACTTGCTGAAGGACTTTGATTGTACTTAAAATATCAATAGCTTTGACCTGAAAAATTAAGGTCTTGCAAGTATTTGTTTAATATGAGTAGCAATCTGAGACATAGTCGTATGACAGTATTGTTATTGGCATAGATTACTAGACCTAACTCTATGGAGTTCTAGATGTTCTGTGAGCTTTATTTAATTTTTCATATTAATGGATTCTAACTTCATCACAGAGATCCAAACCCCTAGTTTCCAGTGCTTTTAGTTCCATGGACTTTTAGTTCAGTAGATGTAAATAAAATATCAGAAGAAACTGCCAAGCCCTTTAAGAAACTGAAATTCATGCACGTGCACAGTAAGAGTTTTCAAGAGTCCTTGCTAAATTTGGTTTCCTTTCTTGGGAGGGTGAAATACCTGGAAATATTTACAGACACTGATTAAAGCAGAAGGTCTCCTAGAACTCCTATTGACAAGAAAATAAATCAAATTAATGAAAATAAACCATCACTGAAACTATTTTGATCCAATCTGTGTAATAGTAAGAAAAAAAAAATAATAATGAAAACTCTTCTCACACCAGCTCACTTTGAGGTATCATCTTTTGGTGTTATTTTGTAGGAAATGTTATTTTATTAAAATAAAAGTACTTCATTATAATTATCATCTGCTTATTTCTTCTTATATTAAGTATTTGGATTCCCACTGAGTTTTCCAGCACTTGATCAAAATGGATAAAAACAATTATTTCTTTCGGAATTCTTATCCATTTCAAGAAGTGAGATGAACAGCATGTGTCTATTTATTTTACTTTTTTTTTTTTTTTTTTTGATTCATTATTGAAAAAGATCATTTTTTTCCATTAAGGTTTAACAGAGTTGAAGCTTCATGATCACATTTGCAGAAACTCTAGAAGCTTAAAATGTCAGAGTTTCAGCATAAGAACTTGCAAATTATCCTTATTATAATCCTCAAAATTTAACTGAATATTCCCGAAAGCAAATCTATTAGTTTTCAAGTTTTAATTGTAACTGATGCTGGGAGGAGAAAAAAATCTCAGATTCTTCTTAATATTGTCCTTCCAGTAACAGTAATAGCCGACTCCCACAAGGTACTTTCAAGACTCACGTGAACTTCCTGTAGCAAAACAAGAACCTAGCATATGATCCATGGATTTTTGCAAGTAGAAAAGTTCAAACTATGTTCTCTTTACTATTTGTTGATGTTTGCAGACCTATTTTGCAGACTAGATCTACTCTTCAGCAAATACAGCTCTGAATTTCTTCCTCAACATCATTTTCAACATAATTGAAGCTGTAGATGCCCCATCTCTGGAAGTGTTTAAGGCCAGGTTGGATGGAGCTTTGAGCAACTTGGTCTAGTGGCAGGTGTCCTTGCTCATGGCAGAGGGTTCAAATTAGAGGCCATTTCCAACCACAACCATTTGATTCTATGATTCTGTGATTCTGTGATATAGTAGGAATTCAGTCTTCACACAAGCTGAACAGTAGGCACAGATGCTGCTATTATAATATAGTGTTATGGAAGCATCAGATTCGGAACAGCGAAAAAAGCACACAGGGCTAGGAAGTATTCAGAAAGGAATATGGAAGGAAAAGCATTACTAGCACTATTATGCTACTGTGTAAATTCATTGGTCAACTACATTTTGAATGCTTCCATTTGATGATCAAAGTTAAAAAAGAACATCTGTATAAAGAATAGCTAAGTAGACTAGGACCCTTCGGCTTCAGAAAGAGGTGAGTGAGGAGAGAGAGAATGAAAGTCTACAAAATCATTCCCTCTTTTGCAGTACAATGACTTGGGAACATTGAAAGAGATGGATAAAGAGAAAAATAAAAGAAGATGATCCTCAGGATGTTGCATGTGTTCAAACTTTGCATGTGTTTAAAAAGAATCCAGACAAATTAAGAAAAATCTTAAGAACTAGTCAAAAACAATAGTTGTGGCTCAGAAATTATTTTGTCATAACTGCTGTCTGTAAAGATATACACAAAGCATTTAATGAATTGCGTGTACTCAGAGTACACACAATTCTGGGCAAAGATAAAATTTTGTCTCACTCAATTAGGTCATTGATGTGTACAGGTGCAGTCTGTGTCTATATATGTGTGAGAGAGATGGAATTAAGTGCACAAACACATTTTGGCTGAATACAATTTTGCCACTTTTTTAATATATCTTGAAATGTTCTCTAGCTTAAAATTATGAAATTATCATTATGAAAAAAAAAAAGACATCTATCTCACTTCACATTTCACTTTAACACATTCCTTACAAATTTAAAAATAATAAATTATTTATTTTAAATAGCATATTTCTAGGAGCAGCAGTTTTATGTGGTTGAAATATTTCAGACTTTGTAATAGATGAACTCTCTCTTGTTTTCTGAAAAGAAAATAGACAATATGGAATGATAAAAGAAAAACATTTTACAGATTTAAACATCTTATCTGTCAAATTATCTGTTGCTAAAGTTGTTAAAGATCTTTATAAGAGCATGGACTTGTATCTGCTGTCTTTGTCTAAAAATACGCTGCCACCCATGTGTGCTCCCCCAAGATTATACATTTCCCAACATAACCAGATCTAAGTCTGAACAATTGTAGTTTTATTTAAAATGCACTCATTCTATACATATTCTTTGGATTTTCCCTTTAACTTTGGGCCAGATGGTGCCAGCAGGAGCTTGTAATGTGAAGCTGATCTCACAAATAAGGAACTTTTGAAGACATTGCCCTTCAGTGAACTGCTGTAATATCAAAGGCTATTGAAGTGTGTTTTGTTTTGTTTTGTTATGGTTTGTTTTTTATTGTTATGTTTTGTTTCTAGAGGCAAGGTTTGGTTTATTGGTATTGAATAGGGTGAGAACACAGATTCCTTCCATTTTCCAGGTCTAAACATAAAGATGGTACTGATTATCACCAGCCTCTCCACAGAACACCACAGCAGAACAAGGAGTATTGTATATGACACAGACTCCCATGAGTAGATGAGTATTGACACCATTTCATTTTTAACTTCTCTGTTTAGGCTGTTCAGTATCTATTGGAAGACTTAGTATATGAAATAGGTGGTACAAAATAAAGTAAATTCCGCAGACAAATCAAATTTAACTGTTTTACTGTTTTCTTCCATTCTAGCCATCCTGGCTTACATAGTTACAGTGGTGATGGAAGTTGGTATATGAAACTGAAGGAATGAGTAATTGTTTTCAATAGGTGCAATAGTTACTGCTGCAGGCAAATATCATAATTAAAGCAAGGTTCCAGCACATATACACAATGAATAAAAAGAGCTTCACACACCCTGTTACATACTGGAGAAACAACAACTATTGCAGTTAAGAAAACTTCTCAGTTATTAAATACAACAAACTTAATATTATTCATTTTGTTTTAAACCAAAGATACCATATCTGAAAAAGATGAAAATAAGCTTTTAGCTTAGTGAGACATCTGATATTTTGATGTTTGTTTTCTTTCCCAAGGAAATCCTAAGCTGAAAACCTTTCCAGAGAATAAACATTTCCAGGAAAGGTTGATTCAGCAGTGAAGATATTTTTCACTTTGAATGGATTCTGTCTTATTGTACATCTACCTAAGCCAGTATTGTGACTTACAGGAAAAGCAACACAGCTGTCTCACACTTTAAAAATTGGGTTTCTCAGCTGCCAGGGAAATGTACTTTAGCTGGGAGTATTCCTCTGTGGATAAACTTGCTCTGATATATCATGAGAAAAATGGCCTAGCCAAAATGAAGCAGTGTGAATTACCCATACTGTGCTACCTCAATGAGGTTCTAAAACTGTTTAGGAAAAAAAGCATAAAAGCATCCAGACTGAAATCTGTTGAGGTGGATATACCTAATTGGAGAAGAAGTTTTGCAACTGAAAACAGTTTGAAAATACACTTTCCCATAGATGTCATAGATTTGAAAAACCTGGGTTTTATTTTAAAGAAAGTCTTTGTTAAATATGGAGAGCTTAATCAATGTCATATATTAAATAACACTGAGTATGAGCCAGAACCACTTAAGATCCAATTTTCCAACTTATGTTCAATAACATCTAAATTGCATGAAGTTCTGTTGATCTTATATGCTTTATGGTATAAAGTTCCACTTTCCACATGAATGAACATTGAAGAATTGTGCCTTAATTTATTCTGCAATGCAGTTAACATTGAACTATGATACGTAAGACACCCTGTGAGATGATACAAACATTAGCTAAATATTTCACTTAATTTTGAATGTTTTCAGCTGTATCTACTGGCAGGAAACATTTTGCTTGGAGCACAGCCATGTATCTTCTGTTGTTATGGCCTCTTTCTGTATTCTTAAGGTCTCTAGCTATAGGGAAGTAATCTACAATTCTTGTTAAAACTTCCTCTTTCCTAAACTTCATGTTGCTTGGAGGCTTCACACTTCTTTTATCTTCAGCATTTCGAATATGCAGTTTTGAAAAAGCTGTGTAGCGAGTAAAATTAAAGGAAAGCAGTATTAACTATTTCTTCTTCTGTCTATATCTATGTTATCAGTATATCTTATTAACACTTTTATTGACTTCTGTGTTTAAAAAAATTTATTTTCCATGAGTCGATGGAATCATTTCTACACTACCTTCAAATTTATTTATTTTTCAGTGGTTTTAGCTGATTTAAAGAATGAGCAATGCTTAGAAAGTCCAAGGGGAAAAAAAAAATGTTTAAAAAATACAACACACCCATATCAACACAATGGTCCAAATCTTTTTGAAATTTCAGTGTTGGAAATTATATTTGTCTCAGTTTCTATGCGTATATAACTCACTACTATTTTCATATTATCAAAATCTGGAGTAGATTTTGATTCAAGCTTCTAGAGAGGTAGGAAAATATTTTCCTTGCCATGTAGTGGACAACTTTTGGAAAAAGAATTGAATGAAGATGGTCATTGCAGAGATCTGGCTAGTAAATCCTCCTTTCACCATGTGGTTTTCTTACTTACTTAAAGGTTTGATTCATTGAATTTTAGGTGTCATTTCTAGGTAAAAACAGAAAATCAGTCAAAAACCTAGCTGCATGAGGCCTTGTTTCTTTGTTCACTAAAGTCTGTTGTTTCTACAGTTTAGAGGAATGGAAGCTGTATTTATTTATTTAACTGTGCTTAGAAGCCAGACATCACACAACAAAATATCTCAATTTTAATATGTGAGATGTATAGAATTTCATATTTCCTCTCTTAATTTTCCACTCAAATTTACAGACTTTCTCTTTTAGTCCTCGTATAACTCTTTCTTTGGTTCACCATTCTTCTTGAGAAAGAGTATTAATGTAAACATCAATATAGGCTTTACAGCCAATGTCCGTGAATTTAATTTTGACCCTGGCTAATAACAAACAGTACCTGAATCTTAATGAGATATACTTGATTCAGTAAAATGTTTCTCTTTAAAAACTTGAAAATCTCTTTGGTGTTTAGGTTACTGAATTTCTTTTCCATGCCTATGTCTCTTAACAACCCCAAAAGAAAAGAAGGAAGGAGGAATTGGTCTGTGATGTTTATAAGATATTTCTGTTTCAAGACATGTCTTCTCTTCGTCTCAGACTTCCATTATATTTTCCCTTTTAATTCTCAATTTGTTCCTGAGGAGCTATATAACAAACTCCTTTATTTCTGAAGACTCACACTGTGACAGACACTTCATTCAATCATCAGCAGGTCATTTTGGCCAGACGGGAACAGTTGTTGAATTAGAGCTTTCCAGTGGTGAGTAATTACATCAAAGAAAGGTTTGTGATGTCTGTACCTAACTAAAATAATTAATATACTCCATATATTTTTTCAATATCATAAGAATTTAGAAAATGATTCATTAGTACAGAATTCCTTATTGATGAATTCATTAATTTTTCTCAAACAGAGAAAGAATGAAACAAGTATAGTTCAGTAAAACATTTGAAAGTAGATTTGTTTTCTCTTTTATCCTTATCTTATATACTATTAATTTATATAATTTTTTGCATAATCATTTTAAGTGACTAGTAAATGCCTCCAAGGATAATATGTTTTCTCTGACTTGCACTTCACTGATTAACATAACAGGTCATAGGTATTTACCATATATCCTCAAATGACAAATACAAATTCCTCACAGTAGCACATCAATTATTCTAAAAGAATGATTAAATTCTTCTGTGTTGCTTTTAAGTTCTGTGATATGCAGGAGTATTAATCAATCTTATATTACTAGTTACTATTCCTCTTATCGTAGCCTCAAGCTGCTCACTACCTTTTTATCTTTTTGCATTAATGCTTTATTCACTAAATAGTTTGGGGAAGATCCAGATGAAGTATTCCCATTACCGAATATGGAAGAAGAAATTATTTACCATTTTAAGGGTGGTTCAGAAAGACATAAAAAACAAGTTCAATGTATTAAATCAGTACACCCTTAGTAATTTGTATGCTTTGTTTAAGGATCTGGCCAACTATCTCCCTGGATTAATAATTTTGATTTTTAAAAAGTCTTGAAGGAAACTGAGAGTTTAAAGGACTACTTAGCTAATATATCAATAACTTTAAAAAGGTAAATGGGATGACCTGGATAATTACTGGCCTGTCAATGTGACACTGATCCTAGGTAAAAATAATGGAACGACTTAGAGGTGATTCAATTAATAAAGAATTACATACATAAGTAATTCCCATGGACAAAGACTATGGACATTGTGCCTTTGAAACAATCTTGGCACTTCTTTTATTGGTTTGTCTTTAGTTTGTGATTAAAGACAGCAGTACTGTAAATTTTCTTCTTGGCCTTACATTATCTTAAATTTTCATCAGCAATGTGGAATAAAATACTATCACTGTTCCAGTTTGCAGAAGAGACATAGAAGGTGTAAGAGAGAGTAGATAAACTTGTAAAGAATGATATGGATTGTCTAATTAAACTCCAAGTAATACGCTTGTAACTGTGTGAGTGAGTGTGAAGTCTAAGAGGACAATCTCTGAGAAAAATCTCCAAGGCAAATCTGTAGGTCCTACTTAAAGGTTTCTGGTATGGGATTCCTAAAAACTTGGAGCCATGGTAAAGAAAATTCCACTCTTGAGCTGCTAAGTGGTATAAGCAATTAAAAATTTGAGAATGCAGAAACAGTGGGATTTTGAATGCTAGACATATTATCTGTGTTGGTTTTTTTTTTCAGTGTTTCTATATAAACTATGTATTTCTAGAGTAATAGAGAATTCCTTGATTTCCCAATTAAAAAAAAAAAGTAAGTGGGTTCTAAGAAAATAATTAAAGGATTGGACAGTATCCCTTGTAATGGAAGACTTCTGGAGCTCAAACTGATAGTTAAAAGGAAATGGATTATTCATAATCCAGAAGGATCAATATGGGAAACAGGAACTTCAGAATAGAGGCTTTTCAATAAAACAGACAAGGAGAAAATAGCACATACTAGCTAAAAACTAAGGAACATCAGCCCCAAATGGAAAGCACACTTTCAATAGTGACTCTAAATGGATCTTTCTCATAGCAGTAGTGAATTTTCTAACAGGAGAAAATAGAAATTGAGATTGACAGTTTTTCTAAAAGGCATATTCTGGCTCATGGAAGCATTAATTCAGCAGAGTTCTGATATATAGCAGGGGAGGCCAGAAAAGACAGTCACTATGATCCCATCTAGCTTTATTATTTGCAAATCTGTTAAGAGCATGCAATTTTAATGTTGTACAACAGAAAAACACAATCTCTACACATGCATATTTCTTCTGCATTGACAATAGGAAAAAAAATCTACACCAATACTGTTCTAAGGTATTCTAAGTTTGGAAGATAGGTCCTCCAACTGAATGGTATTCTCACTTTGATCTCTCCCTTCTCTAGCCAGTTCTGCTCCATTTGCCTTAAATTAGACTAATGTTCTTTGGAATACAATGAAAATAACATAATTTTTAGGAATGTAGGTTTTAGCCTGTGTTGCCAGCTCTATTAGCTTCCTTGATGCTCTTGTTCTGGTTATCCTCTTTCCCACTGACTCAGGGCCTAAAACTGACTAAAAGATGGAAACATTCTGGTAACCTTTTGCCTGGATTTTTACATGCATGGGAAGTTGTTGAGGAATCACACACTATGAGGCTTTAGGTCACAACTAGCTGGTTAGATTATTTCTTATGCCTCTGTGTAATGCAGAGTGACTTTACCTTGTAACAGTGTGATCCTCAGAGTGCAAATAAGCAACATTAGCTCCATTCAGCAATACATGGAGGATGTATCCAACTTGAAGAAAGAGTTCAAAGTAGATTTAGTAGCAGTGGAGAAGGGTGCTTGAGGGAGCTCCTTGTCAGCTTGCATCTGTCATTCAGCAAAAGGGTGCAGGGGAAAAGACCTGATACTGAACAAGGTCATCAGAGTATTTCTGCAGACACCTGTACTGGGGACTTGATTATGGCCATGTGATAGGTATTGCCCTGATGGTATGGCTGTGCCATGGTAATTTGTGTTGGAACAGCCCTAGAAGAGGCAGATGTAAGTAAGGGCAGCTGGAGATTGTCATTTCTTAGAGGATGCTGTGTTAGAAAAACTGTGGTGGTCCCTTTCAAACCAAATTCCATGATCATCCTCTCCTCCCCACCCTGAATGTTGCCTTGAGCACCATCAAGAGCTCTGTGGGAGTGTCTGGCCTTTACAGTTGTATCCCAACACGCATCATCCTCTTACAAGCAGGCTGGAATAGCTCTGCTGCAGCAAATGCCCAACATGCTTTGAACCTGCAAGCATTTTTTGTTTTCCTTTGAGTTAGCAACATCACCACTCCTTCCCACTTCTCTTTAGCCTGTCTGTCTGCAGCACAGCCAAGGCACAGTGTTTTTTACTTGCTGTATGGTGTTGCCAGTATTCATTCCAGCAGCCTGTAGACTCTTGCTGTGGAGAAATTGTGTTTTTTTTTTGTTTGTTTGTTTGTTTTAATTTAATTTTATTTGTTGTTGTTGTTGTTGTTGTTGTTGTTGTAATGCGTTCACCTGTATGTTTACAGGTAGTTCTAGACAGTTATGGTCCGGTTTTAGAAAATTGACCAAGTGAACTTTGTGAGCTCTCATCCAGTTCTCATCCAGTTGGCCAAGGTTAACTAAGCCAGGCACAGCCCTTTTTTACAGGGAAGACTGAGGTACTACTTCTGTTCAAAGTGGCCTGGGAGGCCCCTGAGCTTATTTCAAAAAGGGGCTACTATGCAGAGTGTGGCCACATTGATAGGTATGAAAGAAAAGGAAATGAAGAAATTTCTTATTTCCCATGGAGTGGAGGAAACAGAAGACACCTGTACTTTTTAACCCTGCTTCCTAGGGATCACCATGGCCCAACTGATCACCAGTACAATCTGAGAGAGCCCTTACCTGGCCTGTCTAGAGCCAGAAATAGTCAGTCCGTGACAGCACATTGACACTACTTGTTCTGTATGTGTTCATGTTGTATTTTTTGTTCCTGTTTTCAGGTTGTTGCCCACTTGACACCCATGTGTGCAACTCTAGCATAAGTCTGACACACATGTAAGACCTGTGAATCCCTAAAGCATGAGAAATGGCATTCCTTCTGAGTGTAGTTACTCCCCCTCTTTCAAAGGACACCATATGGCAATGTTTTCTGTGCCAGCCTGGTACTGCTCTCCAGAAAGGACAGTGCTATAGTCTGTGGCATACAAGTTAGCTAGAGGTGATCAAAGTAATTCAGCATGCTGATAACTCTTGCAAATTATATGCAGGTGTTTTGCTGCAATGTGATGAAGGTTTTGAAGAGTGTCACCATGTGTTATACCTTGATGTGTATCCTAAGGATGTAACTGAAAAATATTAACTGTGGGGCTGTCTTCAGCTTTACATTGTCAAAAAACAAAGATAGACTTTGCTGTAGAAATGCTGTGGATATGGCTTTTTATAGAAAACTGCTCTTTTAGTGAAGCTCAGCTAAGAAAATGGTTTAGTGGGTGACATTGGTAGTAGGGTGATGGTTGGACCAGATGATCTTGAAGGTCTTTTCCAACCTTAATGATTCTATGAAAAGTTATAGAGCCTTGTCAAAACTGCACCTTGCATTTGAAATGGTTAAGTTGCTTGCCATCCTAGTGCTCAAAAGATTTATTAGGTTAAGGCCAGACTTCCTTGTGCCTGTTATGTACTGTGAACCATAGTTAACTGAGGTTTTGAAGGACTCTTTTAATGTCCCTCTTATCCAAATGGCTGCAATTCATGTTTAACTTTATGACTTATTTTAATTGAGGCAGAAGAGTCAGAGAAATTATTACAATTGAAAGCAAGTGTTGAAAGAGACCATCAATGTTCAGAAATCAAACAAATGCACTCATTCAGCAAGTATGGATTTTCACAGGTGTTGGAATATGGGTTTTCACAGGTGTTCAATGTCCTGTCATGAAATGCCTCTCAGCTTAGAAAGGGTTTATTTTATTTTAAAGGTGTAAATTCCTGAACTTCTAAACCTTAAGAGCACAGGGAGGAACTTGTCCAGAACTTTTGTATTGTATCATGTATCATATATTTAGATGCAGTTATCCATTACATTCAAATTTTGTCACCACTAGGAATGTTCTCAGTTGAAATCTATAATTCATTACATTGCTATATGTCTTACAAATCCCAGAACAATTAAGCAGTTGTCACCTACTCTCCCTCTAGAACTGTCACTTTTCATGATTGATATTATGGCACTGTCCTCTACACAAGGCAGGATGTATAACTTTTCTTTAAGAATTACCAAGGTGATGGAGCTGTTATTAGAAAAGTTGAGATCATTACCTACCTCAGAGATCCATATTTCTTTTTACTTGTCCAGGAAACCTAAGATGGTCCTCCTACAGTTCATGCAGGTTTCCACAAGACATAACACAGTAAACATAAGACCCTATGTCATGTTCAGATACTAGTATTTTTAAACATTTTTAATATATAACTGTGCAAAAGGAATTGTAGATTTATAGACATCCCCCCCCAAAAAAAAAAAAATCATCAAATTTATTTATTCATTCATTATCAAAATGATTATTGATAAAGTTCATTATAACAGATATTCCTTCTGACTTGGTAATTGTCTAGAGCAGCGGCGAGTGTAGTAACATTAATATCTGAATGTCCTGGACCAGTGTTGACACTGTGAGAGAGGAGAGGAGGATGTCATCAACAGATCAACTGCAGTAATTATCCACATTATATTTAAGTCAATTTTCTTTAATTTAAAACTCATTTTGAACCCAAAGCCTGTTGAATTCAGTAAAAAAGGCTCTCTGACTCCATCAAATAAATTTAGGAAGGAATAATTTATTTAATTGACCTAGAATTTAATAACAGAAATTTTATTACCCCTAGTTCATACTATCTCCAAATACCAAGATTTACAACTATAGTATGTCAATGAACTAGTGTTATGTGTTCTTAAGTAAAATGACTATGAGCCACCTGATCTTCCTTTAATTTTTCAAGTATTTCTATTTGTAAGCTAACAGTTAGTACTCTAATTTTTAAACAAATATAAGTACCATTAAGTATCTTTTTCTGTAACAAAGGTAATTTGGATATTAAGTTATAGCACATCATTTGCATCTTTACAAATACGTGTAGGGCAAAACAATTGATACTTCATGTCTTGTGGGCTCAGAACATAACTTTACAATACTTCGTATCATGTTGGTTAAATGCTTTTTACTTTAAAATATTCATATATTGTTTTCTTGAACTTGCAAAAGCTATGTTTTCATGGTAGTATGTTTCTTGAATAATGCAATTTCAATGTTTTCTATTTTTTATCTTTTAAAGATACATAATTAAAAAGAAGTTTAATTGTGAATATAAATCTTGTTCAATATGAACCTTATATATATATATATACACATATATAAATGGAAAAAAAAAAAAGAAAATGTGATTAGTCTAAAAATAGGTGGAGGGTCTTTTTTTTTTTTTTTTTTTCGTTTTCCTTTTTCTTTCTCTTACAACAGCCACTCTAAAGAAAATAATGTGTTTTTTGTTTTTTGTTTTTTGTTTTTTTTTTTTCTCTATTTAAATGAAATATCTATAGGATATCTGTAAATATTAGTATGTAATAATTCTGAAGAAATCTGTTATCACTTCATTTTTATTACAGTAAACTAACAAGAAGGAGAAAATAATAACAAAACAGCAGTCACTTGTGCTTTGATTGAGTGGCTCAGGAGCTGATCTTGTAGGAGATGATCATTAGAAGCTGATAGTAACCCAGCAGTTGCATCACTTGCCTTCCACCTTGCTGCATACCATGGTCGCAGGCTTGAGCTACACCCCAGGCCACCATGTGGGCTTCTTTAGAGGTCGGTGGAAGCCTAGTGGTTACTCCCTTTGACTGGCTGTGGTCGCAGGTTCAAGCTACACTCCAGGCCACTTCACAAACTTCCCCTTCTACTCTGTCCTTGTGAGGCTCTACCTGGAGTCCCCAGGACAAGAAGGATGTGGACCTGTTGGAGTGGGACCACAGGAGGGTCATGAAGATAGTCAAGGAGATGAAAATCTCTCCTACAAAGAAAGGCTGAGAGAGCTGGGGCTGTTCACCCTACAGAAAAGAAGGCTCCGGAGTGACCTCACTGCAATCTTTCAGTACTTGAAGGGTACTTATAGAAAAGATGGAGTGCAACCCTATGCTCAATCGGAGAGTGACAGGATGGGGTGGAAACCCAAACTAAAAGAGGGGAGATTTAGATTAGGGGTTAGGAGGAAACTCTTCACTCAGAAGGTGGTGAGGTACTGGAACAGGTTGCCAGAGAGGTTATGTATGCCTCCTGAAGGTGTTCAAGATCAGATTAGATGATGCCCTGTGCAACCTAATTTCCTGGATGGCATCCCTACCTATGGCAGGGTTTTTGGAGCTAGACCATCTTTGAAGTCCTTTCCAACCCAAGCCACTCTATAATTCTATGATTCTATGTAATCTCACCAGAAACATCCAGAATTACTTCATATAAATACTTACCAAAATTCATGAACTATGAACAGTATTAATGCAGCTTTTAAGTATTACAGGATCAAACAGGAAGATTCTTAGTTTATGACATATCCGTTAACATATCCAAGATTGTAACTAGTTATAGTTAAAACAAGAAGTGAAAAGGTTCCACATCTTGTTTCTGTACTAGTCCTAGATCTTTTTTTAAAAAAGAGCTTGAAACAAAAATACATATAATGCTATCGAGAGTACCAAATCACATCTCTTAAGATTTTTGTAACACATAACTGATTTGGATTACTAAAATGGATGATAAAGCAAGTCTGTCTTCTCTCCTATTGTAGCACAGTAGTGGCAGAGAGAAAAGTATTAGTCATCTTAAAAAAAAAAAG